GAGAGAGATAGGAGATCAGTTTTTCTTTATATGTCTTTGTGTTGCATATATGCATATCTATATATATCACAAATGCACCTTGCCTTTGTAATTTAAGACAAGAATAATTTACTGAAGAAAGAGCACACACAATTATATGTGCAGTATTAGCTGCACAGTGTGAAATGTGTCTGGAAAAATCTAGGAAAAAAAAGAAAATATTAATAGCAGTTGCCTCTGGAAGGAGGGTGCAGTTATAATGTTTCGTCTTTTTTATCCTTGCCTGTATTTTTCAAATCGAACGAGCAAAATGTATAAATTATTATTTAAAATATACGGGCTTCCACCTTCTCACCAGTCCATCTTGCCTTTACTTACTACGATCTGGTGGTCTCTGTCGGCCTTGCCTCCAGCCACCTGACTTTGCTGAAATTCATGTATCCATTCAGCACATACTTGCTGAATTCTCGGCATTGGGGAGGCAGCGGGAACCAGGACGAATCCCTCACTCTGAGCGTTCTCCTTCCAGAGGGACCATTGAGACACCAAACTGAGTGACCTTGCCCCAGACCCTCATCTTAGCCTGTCTGTGGTGCTCAACACATTGAGTCAAGTTCTCCTGCGTGGAAATGTCCTCTGGTTCTCCTCCCGCCATTCTGCCTGCCTCGCTGCCCCCTATCCCGTCACCCTTCTTGTCCCCGTACATGGAAACTGTTCCCAGGGGCTCTGTTTTGAGCCCCTTCACTTGTTTCTCCATAGCAGGAGTACGGTTTATACCCAGATTCTGAATCAGAAATGGCAGATCTGTGCCGCTCTGAGCCGAGGCAGCAGCCCAGGATGCTGGGGATGGTGGTAAATGTTGGTATCTGTGGTTGCCAGGACATGGATGATAGTGGCCTTTACAGTGTGGTCCCCGTGGGCTCTGTACTTCAGATGCACTCTGTGCATCACTCGGTGCACACGTTGGTGTGTTTGCTTATGTCTGGTCTAGGATCTGGGCCCCATGGTCCCTCACCGGGTCTAACCTAGAGGAATGAATGAACAAATGAATGAGTGAATGAATGAATGAATGACATAATACAATGACATCTCCAGGCAGATTTTAGAAACATGAGTAGATCTGGTGCCTGTGCTGATGAGGGGAAGTTTAGGGAAGTGAATTAGGGGGCTCCTTTGAAGCTTTATTTCATTTTCTTGTGGCTGAATATTTTTCTGGTTTCTGGGCCATTTACGTCTTCTTTAGTAAACTAATTTGTTCAAGACCCTGTCTGATTTTTCAATTATAGCGCTTGTTGTTTTCCTATTGATTTGCAATGGTTCTTTGTATATTAAGGCAATTACTTTTGTGCCTAACGTTTTTGTATCCTTTTCTCTTCTGTTTCTATTTTTGACATATACAAACTTTTTGCATAAAACTATCAGGCTGGTAGTATTTTCCAGTTTTTCTGCTCAGAAAAATCAGCCAGATAATTATTTGCCTATATTTTTCTCTAATTACTTTTTTGGCTTGATTCTGTTTTAACTTCTAACTCTTTTCTCCATCTGGAATTTATTTTAGTAGATGGTGTGAGTTGAGGAGGTAGTGGTTCTTTTCCCAGTTAATTTGGTGGCCGTGCAAAATGTTTTTCTTTTCTCATTGATTTTTTAATGTTGTCTTGTATATATTTCAATTTTTATGTGTGTTAAGACTTCCCACAATACTGTTTCACGTTCTGCTTGTCTGCTCTTAGACCACCCCTCCGCTGTTTTCATCAGCATCATTTGGTGATTCTGATTAGTATCTTGCAGAAGGAGGATACTGCATTTTCAAAAAATATGCATTGTCTGTGACCATCTATTTTTCCACTTAAACTTAGGTATCATCTTACCAAATTTAAAACAGGTCATTGGGCTTTTGATCAGAATTGCATTAAGCTTATAAATTAACTTTTCAGAAGGTTAATATTCTAAATTAACCTTTCAGTAGTTCGTCTTTCTGCTCAAGATGACGTTATGTCTCTTCAATTATTCAGTTTTTTAAAATCCCTCTCTAAAAGGCGTTTTCATACAGTGCTTGCTCATTTCTTACTGAGCTTATTTTTATGTCTTGCATGCATTTTGTAGTTATCATAAAGAAGAACTTTTTTCTTTATATTTTTATCTGTCACTGGCATATGGAAATGGTATTGATTTTGTAAACTTATTTTGCATTTGGCTACTTTACAGAGTTTTTTTTTTTATCAGTACTAATAGCTTTATAATTGATTTCTTTGGGTTTTGGGTATATTAAAATGTCATTTGCAAACCATGTTTTTCTTGCTCCTTTTTTTTTTTTTTTTTAGTGTGTGTGTTGCATGAGTTAGCTCTTTCAATAAGTCATGAAACCTCACAGGTGATAGTAGCATTCCTGATCTTAATCAGGTGTTCGCTGTAAGTATGAATGTTGGTTATTTTTCTAAAATGGATGCTGTATCATGGTAAGGAAATCTTTTTCCTAGTTCCAAATGCTTATTTTAATCAGGGTTGCACGTCTAATTTTATTAAATGCCCATTTAGCATTTATTCAGAAGACTTTAACTTTTTTTCTCCTTTAATGGGATACTTTGTGTTAAGAGAGTTCTCAATAGTAAAGTCATTTCAGAGAGTAACTGTCCTTTGTCAGTTAATCCCTAAGCGGGCTTTAAAAAAAAAATTAGTGTTGAGTCCATTTATTAGCATCAGAGTTAAGGAGGGGGGTGTGAAGTGGCTGCTCACATGTGAATCCTTCTGTGAGTAGCCGTGTGGTTTGGGCTCCGTTCCTTAATTTCTCTTTGCCTTAGTTTTTCATCTGTAAAATGGAGACATTAATAGTCTCTGTTTTAAAGGGCTGTTTGTGAGGTTTAAACAACTCAGTCTATACAAAGTTCTGAGAAGAGTATCTAACTAAACACTCACTAAATAGAAGCCATATATTAAATTATTAGAAATTTACCATGTGTGTGCCTGATACTGAGTTTGGGGTGTGGATTCAGAGATGGGAAAACTCACATATGGTCTGTCTTCTCATGGAGCTTACAGCCTGGCAAGAAGACAGATCCTTATGAAATAATCACGTGGAAGTATGGAAATTTTCTTCTATGATAAATGCTATCAAGAAGAGCTATGGTGTCATAAGAACATGTAATAGGGGGGTTGAGCTAGTCAAGGAGAGACACTGGACTGAGATCTGAAAGATAAATATGCCCAGAAGGTAAGGAAGAGTATTCTAGGAAAAGAGAAGAGCATCTGCCAAGGTCCTGTGGCTGTGCAAGGAAGATAATGTGCCTGGTACAAAAGTTGAGAGGGTGGTGTTTGAATGGAACGCTAGTGGACACTGGGTCTAAGAGGTCACTAAGGGCCAGACCATGCAGAGACCCTCCCAGGCCTGCAAGTGATTTTCTTCCTTATTGAACAGCAATGAAGAGTCATGGAAGGTTTGGTGTAGGTTGGGGGGAGGGGAAGTGACCTGATCAGATTTCTGTTTTAAAAAGACACCCCTGGCTGCAGTGTTGGCAAGGACCAGAGTAAATGTGGTTGACCAGGTAGGAGGTTATTATGGCAGTCGAAGAGAGAGACTGGTGTGGACAGGGAATGGGGGGAGTGGAGGTAGAGACAAGATGGTAGATTGCCTGTGGGGTTGTGATGGAGAGGAAGGTGTCAGAGGAGAGGGAGGGAGGGAGACATCACAAGCCTGCAAATCCCAAAGGAGATGTCGGGGCTGGAGCTCAGAGGGAAGTCTAGCCTGCAATGTGAAGTTGTGGGTTGTCAGTGGGCAAATGGGGAGGTCCTCTAGACTAGACAGAGAGGAGGAGAGGTCCCAACACTGAGCCTGGAAAGGGGCCAGAGGAAGAGCAGGGGGCGGAAAGAAGGAGAGAGCAGTGGTGTGGGAGAGAGCCTGTGGTCCCCAAGCAGCAGCATCATTGGATCCAGTGAGAGGAACAGCTTCTGGCCCCAGGAGGATGCTGTCCATCGGAAGGTCAGAGTTCACATTCCAGCCAGGTACCCAGGCGGTGTGCATGCACGGTGAAGTCTGAGATGTTCTGGCCTGGCAGGAGTGTTTCCAGAAGGAGGGTACGTGTGAGCAACAGTCTTAGAGGCAGCAGAGACAGAGGTCTGTTAAAGGGAAGACTGAAAAATATCCACTGGACCCATCAGTGACCTTAGTACACCAGCTTGGGTGGATCAGTAGGACCCGAAGGCAGAAGTGACAGGGCTGGAGAGCGAGTGGGAAGTCAGGAAATGGAGACAGAAAGTATAGACAGGTTGTGTTTTCTAGAAATTTGGCAGCGAAGGGGAAGAGAGAGACAAGGCTGGAGGGAATGCAGTGGGAATTGTTTTCTTGGTGATGGGGTCCTGAGCACACTTAGAATGGGAAGACTCCAGTGGAGAGGAAATGATTGGACGCATGTAGTGTATGCAAGAGAGAGACACAGGTCAGCTTCGTGATGGGGAGCGGGGATGGGATTCCAAGGGCAGATGGGACGATTATGTTTAGATCGGAGCAGGGGTGGTTCCTCCGTTGGGGGAAGGAGGACAGCCAGGGGCAGATTGGATGGGTTCGGAATTGGTGGGGGGAGACAGAGGACCAAGGGATCCCCCCTTGTGGCTTTGTTTTCTGTGCCAGGTGGGAGGAGAGACAGTGAGCTTGGAGGAGGGACCTGCAGAGTCAGGAGGGCATGGAAAATGGAGAAGGTTGCAAGTCTTCATTCTGGCATTTGATGTTCTAGAGGGGAAGCCTCTGTTCTGCCCTGTCTGGTGGCTTTTGGTTCCAACTCTCTGAGCCTTATTTTCTTACCACACCGTTCTTCCGAGGCTCGAGTCCAACGACACACATTTTGTCATCTGCGCAGTGCATGGCACAAGCAAGCCTAAGCTCCGTCTGTCACCCACCCTCCCTCCCTCTGTGCCCAGCCTGGGGCAGCCTGGGAAGCCCGTGGGAAAGCGGGTCAACATTGCTCCTTTTTCTCTGGAAGCTTCTGGGAGTTCTTCTGGCCATACTGACCTGCTCCCTTTCTCTCTCCCAGGCCAAAACTGCACGTTCCAACTACAGGGTCCCAATGGGACAGTTGAGAGCCCAGGGTTCCCATATGGCTACCCCAATTACGCCAACTGCACGTGGACCATCACTGCGGAGGACCAGCACAGGATCCAGCTCGTGTTCCAGTCCTTCGCCCTGGAAGAGGACTTTGACGTCCTGTCGGTGTTTGATGGCCCGCCCCAGCCAGAGAACCTGCAGACCAGGTACTGTCTCCGTAGCCAACAGCGGGGACCTGAGCCAAGCCCGCTCGCCAACAAAGTCCTCTGTTCCTATGGGCTCTGCCCTCAATTCCTCTGCTTTTTTTATGTTTCCAAATGCCTTTCTCCAGCTTAGAAATACCCAGTAGGCGGGACTGATGGCTAGTGTACTTAGGAAGATGAGATAGAAGACACAAAGTGTTGTAGAGAAGTTCAAGTCTTTCTTTTTTTTCTTTTTTAAAGATTTTATTTATTTGACAGAGAGAGATACAGCGAGAGGGGGAACACAAGCAGGGGGAGTGGGAGAGGGAGAAGCAGGCTTCCCGCCGAGCATGGAGCCTGATGCGGGGCTCTATCCCAGGACCTGGGATCATGACTTGAGCCGAAGGCAGATGCTTGATGCCTGAGCCACCCAGGCGCCCCTCAAGTCTTTCTATTAAGATGGATTTTGCATGGATTTGTGTGTATGTGTGTGTGTATCTATTGGTGTGCATTCTTTGCACGCATGGAGATCTATTTTCTCCCCTTGGATCCAGCAGATATGTGTTGAAAGCTAATAATGATCATGTCTTATATCCTGTACTTGAAAACCATCAATACTTTGTTGGAGTTTGCCTTGCATTTGCATGGCCTTGACTGTGGGCGTAGAATCAGGAGTTTGGGGCAGGGGCATTTGGGTGGTGCAGTCGGTTAAGCGTCCGACTCTTGATTTTAGCTCAGGTCATGATCTTGGGGTTGTGAGATTAAGCCCTGCACTGGGCTCTGTGCTGAGTGTGGAGCCTGCTTGCGATTCTCCTTCTCCCTCTGCCCCTCCACCACCACCCCCCAAAAAAGGAGTTTGGGGCAAAGTTCCCACTCTCTCAAACCCCATCCTTGGAAGAGAAAACTCTGGAAGGGCTTTCCTGATCCCCTGAGCTGTCTCCCGAGGGGGAGAGAGAGTTCACGTCGAGGAGGGAGATAGGCAGGGAGACTGCTGCCTTTGCAGATGGGCAGACTTGTCTAGGACAGAGGTCAAGGCCCCAGAGTCCTAGCTCTCCAGCTTTTGTTGACCTGGTGGCCAGCCGTGCTCCATGGCCAGCCTTGTCCTGGTTCTGCCAGCCAGGCTTTGGGCTCCCCAGGGAGCCAAAGGGTTAGTGGCTTACCAGCCAAGCCCTGGGGAGCTCGGGGTGCTAATGAGCGGAACAGTAATGAGCCGTTCCCTGGCAGGTGCTTTAACTCTCGAGGCTTTGTTTAAGATGCTCTGTGCCCTTAGCTTGCGAGCTTCCGGAGCAGGGTCACGAACAGCACTTACAGGACAGCGCCAGCCCTCTTCTCTCCCGCTCCCTGCCCTCTCAGGGTAGTGCAGAGGTGAGGCTGCCAAGCCCGCAGCAGAGGTGGGGGCCGCTGGGGCCCCTCTGACTAGTAGCTCTTCCCGGACAAGGCTGGGCTTATCCATCCTGCCTTGACAGCCAGCATGTTTGGTGCACGGTAGGTCTTCAGTGACACTTGCCGGGGGGGGTGGGTGGCAGGGACTAGAGTCCTCTTCACTTATTCACTGCACAACTATGTCATGAGCACCCCTTGTGTTCCAGACACTGGCCTGGGTGTGGGGGGTGTGGCAGCGAGCACAACACAGCCACTGTCTTCACGTGGGCTACCTGCTAATGGGGGCGGCGGACATGGATGTGAATATGTGAGTTGAGCATTCAGGGACATCAGGGCTAGAGAAAAAGCAGGGGGAGACTGGGACTGGAGAGTCTGGAAGAGGTCGCAAAGGAGCGAGTCCTTACCACTGGGTGCTGAGCTCGGTGACACCATCTGTGGGGCCCCTGCATAGACTTTTGATGGATGTTGAATGAAGCTGAAAGATGGAAAGGCTAATGGGGTACTTTGCTGGGGTGTGGACAGCTGGAGGCTGACTCCGGTTCTGCGTCCTAGAGCTGTTCTAGCTTTCCTTGCTCTGAGGTCCTACACGGATGTAGTCAGACCTCTGCTTTCTGATGCTTAGGTTTGCTCACTGGGAGAGTGAAATGCAGAACATCCACGGGAGGTGGGGGGACTGGTCTGGCCTGGAAGGGTGGGGAGGTGGTCCTGGGAGGGGAGGCCCTGGCTGTGTCCCCTGCCCCAGCGCAGCCCACTCTGGCCAACCAGTCGTGTGTGAAGAGGAGCTCCCAGGGATTGTGCCTTCACTAGGTGGTCCCTGCTTGGGTTCTCCCTTTCTGTGATTTTCCCCATCTGCTCATTTCCTTTCATTTCAGTAGCCAAGGGCCTGCAGGCTTAGCAGAGGGGGAAGAGTGCTGGGCCTCTTGGGGCCCCTGCAGCCAGAGGAGCTCATAGCTTAGAGGACACTGGGCAGGGAGATGACGCCAGAGGACAGCCTGAATAGCAGGAAGGAGTGGAATGTGTGCTCCTTGAAGGTTTTGGAATGGAGCTCCTTCCAGGGGTGTAGGGGGGACAGCATGTGTGTTTGGGGAGGACTCTTGGGTCCTTGTGAATTATTTTCATGTTCTTTGCGTGGTTATTAGTCTACTCAGGTTTTCTTCTTATTCGTGAATCAGTTTCTATATGTATGTTTGTCCACGAAATCATCCCTTTTATGGAGATGGTCAAGGGTCTCAGCCTAGAATCACATGCATTACAGTTTCCCCATCTGTCTGGTATCTGGGAACGCACCTTCTATCTCGCGCCTGCTCCTGTGTGTTTGTGTTTTCTTTCTTTTTACTCAATTAGTCTTGTCAGAAGTTGCCTGTTTTATTGGTCTTTTTAGCATTCCACCTGTAGGGGTATCAATTTTATTCTTTCTCTATTATCTACTGACTCATTTTTGCTTTTATCTTTATTCATTCTTTTCTCCCTCTTACATTGGGCAAATATTGCTCTTTTGCTGATTTCGTGAATTGAATTAGTTTCATTATTTCTTGTTTGATAACAAAAACCTTAAGAGACATTTTCCCCTAAGTATAACTTTGACCATATCCCATAAATTTTGATGGATAGTCATTATTTTAGGAAGAGTCTCTAATTATGGTTTTGTGCCTTCCTTGACTCTAGGGTTTTTTCCCTCAGATTTGCCAGTAATATTTTTTATGCTTAAAACATTATTATCTAGTTGTATTGCATTATGATCAGATGATTATTTCCACTTTGGAGAACTTGCTTTTTTCCCCACAGTGTAAGATCATTTTTTGTTAACTGTTCTATAAGTATTTGCAAGAAATAATTCTTTCTGAAAAAATTCATGTTATTAACATTATGCAGTTTTTCTAATTTCTTATTGTCTGAATGAGGTTTGTCAAAGATAAGCAATGCATTGTTTTCACATTTTCACTACTGTTCTTGTCAGTTTATCCTTTTATTTCTAAGTTTTTACTTTATATATTTTGGTGCTATACTTTTCAGCATGTAAATATGTTTAAACATTAGATATTGAGTGAATTTTATGTTTTTTTTCAATAAAAAAGTTATCTTTATTCCTCCAGGTTTTTTTTGGTCTTAAATTCCACTTTGATGCTAATATAACCATCTTCATTTTCTTTGATGTTTGTATTTATTGGGTCCCCCTCTTTCCCAATTCCTCTGTTTTAAATATTTCTGCCATTGTTCTAGTTATATCTCTTAGGACATCATATCATTGGATTTTTTTTTTTAAGATTTAAAAAAATTTATTTATTTGAAAGAGAGAGAGGGAGAGAGATACAAGAGCGAGCACAAGCCAGGGGGCAGTGGCAGAGGGAGAGAAACAAGCAGACTCCCTGCTGAGCAGGGAGCCTGACCCGGGGCTCTATCCCAGGACCCCGGGATCCTGGGCCGAGAGCAGACACTTAACAAACTAAGCCACCCAGGTGCCCCTGGATTTTTATTTTTAAACCTTTACTGAGAGTCTATTCTTTAATAGGAAAGCTTGATCTACTCACATTTTTTGGTGACAACCTGTATGTTTGCTCCAGTATAATACTTAATGCTTTCTGTTTTTAAGTTTCCTTACTCTTATTTACTCTTATTTCCTTTTCTCTACTTTCAAGTACAAGTTTTCTTTGCTTTTTCTGTGATTTTGATTCTACTAGTGGTTAAGTTACTTCTTCAGAACACATTTTTTTTTAAAGATTTTATTTATTTATTTGACACAGAGAGAGCGCACAAACAGGGGGAGCTGCAGACAGAGGGAGAGGGAGAAGCAGGCTCCTCACTGAGCAGAGAACCAGACATGGAGCTCGATCCCAGGACCCTGGGATCATGACCTGAGCCGAAGGTAGATGCTTAACTGACTGAGCCACCCAGGCGCCCCCAGAACACATTTTAAGGTGTATTTCTCTGTCAACATCTTGTCTGGGTAGGCTTTTTCTTAATCAGGTCATACTGGCACTGCATCTTGTAGAAATTCCTTAGTGTTTGTAGCATGTAGTTATCTGTCTCTTTTTCCTAGTTCCCAGAGTGGACATTTATATTGGCTCTTTTTAATATACCTTCAATTACTTCTATGAGAACTTAGGGGCTCAAGTGGAAGGGGAGTTTAACATGTTGGCCTGGCTCTCCGTCTTCAACTGGAAGTTTGTCCTAGGATTTTTATTCTTTTTGATGCTATTATGAATAGAACTAATTTTTATTTTATTTTATTTTTGGATTATTCACTGCTAATATATAGAAATACAGTTGGTTTTTGTAACATTGGTCTTATGTCTCAAGACCTTGCTGAACTTGTTATTAATGCTTCTAATTTTTTTATTATTATCTGTGAATAAATGTTTTTGTTTTAGTTTTTCCTTTATAATCTACATGTCTTTTATTTCTTTTTTTGCCTAACTGCACTGGATAGGATCTCACTACCGTCTTGAAAGGAAGTGGTAAAACTGGACATCCTTGTTTTCACTCCTGATCTTAAAACGTTCAGTCTTTCGCTGTTAAGTGTGTTGTGAGCTATAGATGAGTGCTAGGTGCCCTTCGAATGAAGGTTTTAGCAGATGATTTTGGCACAGTCTGGCTGCAGTGGGGAAAATGCACTGGATTGGGGGCCAGACTGGTGACCGCCA